TGTGTGTTTGTGTGTAATTATGTACATCCCTGCCGAGGCCCGAATCATGCCGCTGCTCAAAGCAGCCCAGCTCTGGAAGTTCCGCCTGGAGCAGAGGGGTCAATTCCGTGCCCCCCGGCTCGTTTGTAAATCACTCTTTGCTGGGTCACACAAGCGGTCTGAGCATGTTCAAAGTGTGGGGCGGTTCAATGTATAGATGCTGTGATTCAAGCCCATGGCATGTGCACAGGTAGCGAGCTTCAGGGGAACAGTTCAGAGAAATTCAACTTGGCATGTACCGTTCATAATGCAGTCGGAGCTATACATAGTAGGATCTTGCATTGCTTTCTATACAACATCCACAGCCAGTCCTTGCACCATCGGACGCCAGCCATGATTGATATCGATGTCCTTTGCTGGCGATTGATTCAGCTGCAAGCCCCCAAGGCCAGACATGTTGTCTCTAACATTTCAGAAAGGTCTCGATAAGGGCAATTGTGAACTCTGCAATTGCTTTGGACAGGACTTCATCCTGACGGTCCTGCTGACTGTTTGGACTTTCGATTCAGCTACTTTGACCCAGGCCGGGTTCCGCTTTGTTTGGATTTCTGATCTAAAACTTTGCAACCTGAAAAATTAAGGACTACGAGTTCTTGGAGTTCTTCGCTGGTGCTGGGACAATGTATCGGATGATGCGTTTTGTGGGTAGATACAAATCCGCCCGCTTCGATCTTAAGGATGCTTCCCCAAGGGGCCGCAAATCTAATTTCATGGACCTGAACTCCAGCAGTGGGTTCGCGCAGCTCGCTAGCACTCCTGCTGTTCCAGAGTGTTTCTCTAAATATATAGAGTGTGAGGATTGAACGCAGCATTGCTCTAAGTTTGGCGATCCTATACGTTCTGAAGCTGGCCGATGGTGCCGGTCTCGTGCACTTTGGGATAAAGTGTGGGTCCTTCTGTGGCCTCAATCGTGGCACCAGTGGTCGATCGGCATGTACTCCTTACGGAAACATTTGGCACCCGAGTGTCATCGCATCCAACAAACTCTTGGAAAGGACAGATTCTGCATATAGGGTTGCACATAATCGAACCTTTCCCAATTCAATCTTACTTGTTCAAGCATATAATGTGGCTTGCTTAAGGCCCGAATCTTTCCCCAAACAACACCAACATCCATTTATAAACCTGTAAACATTCTAGAGCCTATCCATAAGCTTCAAAAGGTTTGACAAACCCTCTAAACCCCAAGCCTTCTTTCTAAATAGGCCACCCATATCTATCTATCTATTTATCTATCTATCTATATCTATCTATCTATCTATCTATCTATCTATATGTAGATAGACTACCCGACCCGTCCCCAAAAAAACCATTGCTGCAGGACCACATTGCTCATCCTTCTCTGCACGGCGATGAATGGCACCTGGACCATCGAGCAACCGGCTGGGTCGACTTTGGAGTTCTACCCATGCTTTCGGGCCATGCTGGGGACTGTTTTTGCTTCTGGTGGACCATATGCAGCCCAACCCTTAAACTTGTTGTCGTTGTGTGCTATGTGTGGAATTCATGTGTCGGTCGTGTGTCTGTTCAGCTCGAGCTGCTGCTAGTTAAGGTGGCTCGAGTATCCTTCTGGATGGCTCACTTTCTCAGCAAGACACCGAAGAGGCAATACATGTATTCGAACAGTTCGAAGATTGGCTTACTGAACAAAGGCCGCTTGCTCATGGGACGACATGTTCCTCGTTCGAGGACCACGAAAAGGGCTAGGATGCCTGGTGGGAGGGAAACGTACACTGGCACTCGGTTTCTAACAGAGACAGAGATCCTTGTCTTGATTCTAGTGAGCAATCGTCCTATATAAGATGGTGAAAATGTGCTGAATTTGCATTATAGTTCATACTGCAAGTAGAGACCACTTATTTAGTACAGGCAGGCCCGATCGAGACCACGGCCCGAGCACCCCATCTTCCAATAGTGTTTACCAAGTCCTCGCAAGCAACAGAATCATCCCCACCAAAAGCCCCTGAACCTCTCTTATCGCCCCCCAAAACCCTAAAACCTTGAACCCTATATATATGTAAACCCTGAGACCCTATAGAATCCCTCAGATCCCTTGGATCCCTTGTATATACAAACCCTAAAACCCATAAACCCTAAAACCCTATAAACCCTATAAACCCTAAACCCTATATATAAACCCTATATAAACCTAATGTCCAAGGAAGTATCCAGCCGCCTTCTGTGCGGAGCTGGTGAGGATCTGTGATGATCTCAAGGCCCACCGACTTGGTTGTCCCCAGGAGCCAGGTGTTGTTCCTCCGGGCCCGGAGCAGTTGGCTGTTCTGATGGGAGGTCAGGCTGAAAATTTTAAGTTCGCAGATCTTCCGATTGTGTACAGGTACTTGAGGGGAGGGAAGAATCTTAGGGTGCCAGAGATATGGCGGGCTGTGATACCAGCAAGCCTTTAGAGTCTTAGAGTGCAAGCCCATGTTGAGCTTCCTGGCCAATATAGTCTGGGTTTCAGTCATGGGTCTCTTACTATGAATACATATAAGGATTTGGACTGCGGGATTTTGGGTTTGGGGCAGGGATAGAGGAGCAAGACTTTTGCGCAGTCGTGTTTTTTTTTCATGTTTAGAAGCGTTTTGGAGCGGGTTTTGAGGGTTTTGCTACTTTCGGACCGAAAGAGGAGCTCTACCCTGTCATTTAGGCTACCTAAACCCCGGTTCTGATGCCTTAAAACCCCGGGTTTCCTACCCCAAAACCCGGTTCTGACTATCTCTATATACCCCTAAACCCCACCAAAACCCGGGGTCTATGTAAACCCGGGGTTTGAGCCTACCCGTGCCCAACGCGTGCCCAACGCGTGCCAGACCCGTCCCCAAGCCGTGCCCGGGGCATGGGTAAACCCGGGGTTTGTGCTCTTAGGAAACGCACACATTTTACTAGGTTTTGGCCACTTTTGAACAGGCTTGGACTAGATTCTGCAGGAGTCTTAATTCACAAATTAGACGTGGCTGCTGGCCTGCCCGCAACACACTCAGCACCCTTGGGAAAATCTTGCACGTGCTGCAATCCAAGCTGCACATAAGTGCCAGGTTGCAATCTCTGATGCAGAATGATGCACACTTGCCTGCCCATTGCTGATCGAGGCTTTTGAAGTTCGTGCTCTTTAGGTCAGTCCAGGTGCTGGGCTACTGATGGCGGGACCTATGTCCAAGCTATGGAGCTGTGCGACGCTTCAGGATGGTGTTTCGCACGTCGAAGGGGCATCGGGAGAACCTAGTGTGGAAGACATGATGCGAGAGATGCAGGACTGGAATCTTGTGTACTAAATCATGTGCACACTGTATCTACATAATATAACAAGTGCAGCCTCAGATGTCCATCCAGGAATTGGAGCGACAGCTCCAAGAGGATAAGGCCAGGGCCCCATGCAGCACACATACTCGAATGCCTTCACGAAAACTGTTCCTAACAATCACAGCCCCAAGCTGCCTTTGCCCAGGAAACCTCGTATCTGCAGATGCAGGCGAATGAGCAGCTGGAGACGGTGCCGGTAGGACTCCTCGGCTGATTGTGGTTTGGTGCTGCCGCTTGCTAAAGTGCTGTAAGATATCCTGTTCTGTGTGAACACACTAGAGGCTTCGCTTTCTGATCTTGTGAAAGCCGGCTTGATGACGGACGAAAACACACTTGTGGATCCCGTGGTTGCCCCGGCAAACATTGGCCCCGACACCGCTGGCCCCGACACCGCTTGCCCTCAAGAAGAACATGGTTCTCCTTGCAAATCCGATGCTTATGCAGTCGTGGATGTGGAAGCTTTTGAGCAGGCTATGGGTTTGTGTTTGCAATTGCAAAACTGTTTCTTGTAGTGGGGACACTAAGCGAACCTGGGAGGCTCAAGAGCGAGATGATGATGAGGAGCTGGAGCAGGCTGCTCTTTGGGGCTGGTTTTCAAGGGGATTAATCTTTCGTTTAGGGGGTTTTGGGTAATCTTTATTATAATATATTACAAGTTATATATAATTGCTAATATTCGTAATGATGGTTGTTCTGGGTTCCTACTGTTCTCAATCGGGCATTTAGGGTGCTTCCAGGCCTCTGCTATGGACATGTACCTCGCCCTCACCGGCTTGCTTTCTGATGGCGAGTCAGATGATGCTGAGAATGGGGTCAAAACCGAGCCGGATGATACCGAAGCTAAGCATCCGAAGCCTCGTGAATACAGCCGCCAAGACCCTTGACTTTAGCTTGTTCATTAATCAAGTGATACTTTATGTAGCCACATATAATTACCTATTTTCTAAACCCAAGCCAAATCGCACGCCTATTTCGAGGAGCGCTTGCTCCGTGCTGCCAAAGCACGGATCGCCAGGATGGTCAAGGAGAAATCTCGGAGGAAGGACTTGCAAGTCCCGGCTTTCGTTCGGGAGCAATGGGAGTCTGGCAACCGAAGCAGCATGGCCCAGTTGTTGCAGCAGGTGAACTTCAACAAAGTAGCTCGCATGCAGTGATGGATCTTTGACACCTAAAAGCGCTTAATGTAAACCCTATACACCCTAAACCCCGATAAACCTCTCTCTCTCTCTCTATAAACCCCTATGAACTCCTACCAGGACGTGACAATCGGGCCTATATAAAGTAATACCTCAACGCATAGCTTATGTTGAGGTATTATTTTATATAGGTCCGCTTGACACGTCTTGGTAAGCCCCTATAAGCCCCTAAACCCTATAAGCCCTATAAACCCTATAAGCCCTATAAACCCTATAAGCCCTATAAACCCTAAGCCCTCGATCTATGTATATATATATATAGACACAAATATTTACACCCAGAACCCTAAGTATCCATAGGCTTAGGGTTTAGAGGGTGTATATGGGGTTCATATATATATATATAGGATTTATATAATTTATATATTTATAGGGTATCTGTATCTATATTCACTCACTACAAAGAATCGTAATCTAGAAGCCTCCGAAGCTTCAGTTGATTTCAACCCTATAGCAGTGCAGAGCCCACAATCGAGAAGCAGCCCCAAAGGAACCCCTAGGAACCTTTTCCCCAAAAATATATCTACTCGTACACCTAAACGACTGCATGCCAAGATCGCTTCTAATGCCCGCACAGCCGAGGACGAGTTCGTGGCCAGCCTGGAAGTCCAGATCAAAAAGAAGAACAAGGTGCTGGTTGAGGTGGAGGAAGGTTGGTATTCCAAGGAGGAAATGCTGAATGATTTGAACTGGTCGGAGATTCTTATATGAATGTCGGTCATGACTACAGTTAATAGTCGTCATGTGTTGTGTGCATGTATATATACGAAGGAAACCTGTAGTCTCCGAGGAGAAAGACGAATGGTGCCATCGCGGCTTGCAAATCCCGGGGATCCGTGAGGCTGGTGTGATTACTGTAGCACAAGCTAGCAAGGCACTATCGGAATCTGCCTCGGGAGGCTCAATGCATACGACGGGCAGGAAGAATTTTGGATCCAGGTTCGTGAGCTGGGAAAACGAAAGCACTCGCAGTCCTACGAAGAGACGCACAAGAAGATCAAGCAGGCTTTGAGTAGCCGTGAC